AAGAAGAAGAAGAAGAAGAAGAAGAAGAAGAAGAAGAAGAAGAAGAAGAAGAAGAAGAAGAAGAAGAAGAAGAAGAAGACAACAGCAACAACAACAAAAACAGCAACAACAACAACAATAATAGCCATATACTGATTAAAATATTAATAGCAGTACCACTATTTCTAAAATGTTATTAATGCTATTGTAATTATTATATTATTGGTACTGGTGAGCTGAGGTGATAAAGACCAGTAACCAGTAAACTATTTACTCCTTTTTGCAAGAGGATTGATTGATTTTTTTGTTCAAATACAATGGAGTATTTTGTTTGGTTTAACTATTGATTGGTATCTTTTTATACGTAAAAACACACGCGTGGCACCTTGGTGAAATAAGGAACTCGTCAAAATATTTAAAGTAAAGAAATTGACATTTTTCAGCAGGTTTGGGAATTTTTATCGACTTTTGGTTTTTTGGCTCAACACCTTTCATGCCCTTTAAAAACACACTTCTGTGTGGATTTTACTGAAAACACTGATTAAAGGCATGAAAGATGTAAGTTTTCAGTTTCCACGGACTCTCAAGCTGAGGAAAAAATTCAACTCTGGAGGACATTTTCTAGCTAATCTTACCTCTGAAATCAGGGGATCCCACCTCCTTCAACCGCCAATAGCTTGACTTATATCCAAGATAAATGGATATTTTTTTTCATCAAAAGCAAAGCAAATGGACAGACTTTAAGATGATACCAATACCTCCATTTGCCCTAAAATTGACGAGCGCCTGATCCCACCTTGCCGTAACACAAACTCTTCAGGCACCATTTTGGGCAGGCCTTCACTTAAGGTTTCTGACCCTTGTTGCTAAAAATTGCTTTAGTAGATAGTTTTTCACACGTATTTAAACTTAGATGATATTTTTTGAATGTACTTTAAAATTGGTTGAATTAACTGATTTCAGTCTCCTATTTGTAGTTTTATAAAAAAAATACTTTTTATGTGGCTGAGGTGGTCTTTTGTCACCACGATCTATAGTGGCTGATCCGGGGTGATTAAGACCACTATTTGAATATATACATTTTGAACCCAATTTGCCTGTCTATATAGTTTTTACCTATTTTAAAGTGAATTGTGAGACAACAGCGCTTGGTTATAACAGTATAAGATCTTGTTGCTAGGTTTGAGCTGAAAGTCTAAAGTTAGATTCTTATATAAAAAGTTGTAATTTATACGAGAAATTATCGTGTATCCAAGTTGTCGGTCATTGATGATAATGACCAATTATTATGCAACCCTATTACAATTTATTACTATTTATGATATTCTCTTCTATCTCTTTAGATTTATGTTCGTGGGTGGATGGCGGGTGCTCTGGTGTGGTTTGCTTCTTCTTTCCTATCAAACATCTATCGTCCTTATCTCCCCTTTTTCTTTTTTTATGTTTGTTACTCTCTTGTAACACCTCTAGTCTTCTGGCGCTTATATGACCTTATGCAGTTGCGAGCGCCGTAAAACCTCTACTAAAACAACAAACAATTTATGTTCCAGTATAATATAGCACTCTCATTTCAGTCTAAATCTAGATACTTTACCGTCCCGGCACTAAAATAACATAACCACGATGCGAGAACCTACCCTCCAAAGGCAGCCTTGCACGCTGGAGTATAATAAAGTTATTGACCTGACATTTTCTAACACTACATTGTCTACTGAGCTTATTTGGGGTACTGTTCTGATATTTTGATGCCCTCAAAACAGTCACAACAAGCATAAGATGCTATTTCCAGAGGTCTTAGTAACCCAGAGTGGAGATTACTAATACTATAATCATTGGCTAATACATGTACCGTGCTGTTTCATACGAGGTATTTAATAGGGTGGTCTTTGTCACCCCGTGCCGAGGTGACTAGCTCCAACCCCTAAGACACCCAATGCCTATACAAATAGCAGATTGCACTCCATTAAAACTATGCATTTGACGAACATAATCCCCCCCCCCCCCTTAATCTAAAACAAAAGCTATTAGTTTACACTGCTTTATATTGGACTGACACTGATAGCTTGTACAAAAAGTGGTCTTAATCACCGTGGTCCACGGGTATTGTTATCGTAAT